GGAGCCCCCTTGCTTTGCACCCCCTCCCCTATTCGTACAGCACTGCAGCCCCCCAAACCAGGAGCACTGCACGGGGCTCCCTTGGGAACCGTTCTGCTGCTCTGTGGTTTTGGAAACGTGCTCTCTCCCCCCAGAGGCCCCTAGATCCTGCCGCCCAGGGAATAAAGGAACCGGCCTGAGAAATAACATGGGCTCTGCCTCCCACTGAGGGACGGTCAGAACGAAACCGACAAAGCTCCACTCTGCACAGGGATGGAAATGCTTCCTCGACTGCTCCCGCTGCAGGGCCGAAAGGGGCGGTCTTGCCAGCTCTCGCTGCCCTGGTCTACGCCAGGGAGTGATTTCGAAATAGCAAGCGGAGCGTCCACTCTGCCAAGCTTATTTCGAGACCGGGACTCCTGCTTTCCTCGGGGCAGAGCGCTTGTTTCGCAATGGCCCTGCGGCCGCACCACCGCCGCCCTTTCGAAATAACCACTCCCCAGAGTCACTGCAAGTAAGGGCTCCTCAGTGCTCCCAAGGCGCTAAGTCGAGGAGCGCGTGCACAGTAACGGAGCTGCCTCGGACTCATGTCGAGGCTCCCCCTGTGGTGGGGACAGGCTGGTTCGACGGGGTGATTTCGGGAGGGATTTTGAACGATTTGGAAATCATTTCCTCGCGGCGCCCTGCCCGCTGGGACTCAGTGAGCGCAGCAAACTCTTCCGGCTAGATCCCAACAGGCTTCCTGTGTCTGGCTATGTCTAGACTGCAGGCTTCTTTCGAAAGAGGCTCTTTCGAAAGAGAGCGTCTAGACTGCACGGAGAAATTTCGAAAAAGCGGCTTGCTTTTTCGAAAGAAAGCATCCAGTGAGTCTGGATGCTCTCTTTTGAAGAAGCCCTATTTACATTGAAGAACGCCTTCTTTCGAAAGAGGAACTTTCGAAAGAAGGCGTTCTTCCTCGTGAAATGAGGTTTACCGCCATCGAAAGAAAAGCCGCGTTCTTTCGAATTAATTTCGAAAGAACGCGGCTTGAGTCTGGACGCAGGGGAAGTTTTTTCGAAAAAACCCCTGAGTCTGGACACAGCCTCTGTGTGGACACCGACCCACCGTGTTCTGCATGGAGCCCGCGTGGGCCGGCCAGCTCCGGGCCGGGGCAGGGTGCCTTGCCAAAAACTTGGCACGCTACAAAGAAAGGTCCTATCCTGGCTCATCTCCTAGGGGCAGGCAGGGCAGCCTGGGACGCAGGGGAAGTTTTTTCGAAAAAACCCCTGAGTCTGGACACAGCCTCTGTGTGGACACCGACCCACCGTGTTCTGCATGGAGCCCGCGTGGGCCGGCCAGCTCCGGGCCGGGGCAGGGTGCCTTGCCAAAAACTTGGCACGCTACAAAGAAAGGTCCTATCCTGGCTCATCTCCTAGGGGCAGGCAGGGCAGCCTGGGACCACTTGCGGCCAGCCCCTCCCCGGAGCACCTCCCCTGGCAGGGCGCCTGGTCACAGACGTAACAGGCGTGCGATATGAAAGAGAAACCAGGCTGCTGCGGCAGGGGGCGG